GGGAGTAACAAAACCCAAAATGGGTAATTGTCATTGTACAAAAGAGTGGAAAAGAAAGTGCTCTAAATGATATAACTGCAGGCATATTTAAGTGTATGATAGAAAATGATATCACTGAGTTTTATTGGATAATTGAACAGAACTGTTTGCAGTATCATTGTTGGAATGTCCACTTTACAAGCTTTAATTTTGTGACTTGAACAATTATTTCTAAGATGACAATATGTAATCCATTAATTAGTGATTTCCTATTGTTTATTTTTTTTCTGTAAATCTGTATAACTTGTACCCTTTCTCTGCTTTTTTTTCTCCTTAAATAAAATTAAAAAAATAAATAAATAACCTGATACTACACCTCAAACAGCTAGAAAAAGAAGAGCAAGTCAAGCCCAAAGCCAAAAGAAGGGAGGAAATTATAAAAATCAGAGCAAAAATCAACACAATAGAGACTAAGAAAACAATCCAAAGAATCAACGAATCAAAGAGTTGGTTCTTTGAAAGAATAAATAAAATCGATAAGCCCCAGCCAACCTTATTTTAAAAAGGGAAGAAAAAGCTCAAATTCATGCAATAAGAAATGAAAAAGGTGAAATCACTACAGACTCTACAGAAATACAGAAGATCATCAACACCTATTTCGAAAACCTCTACTCTCAAAGGTTTGATAACACAGAAGAAATAGACAGATTCCTAGAAACATATAAAGTACCAAAGCTAGATCAAGAGGATGTAAAACTGCTGAATAACCCAATCTCTATTAATGAAATTGAAAATGTAATTAAGTCCTTACCTACAAAGAAGAGTCCAGGCCCAGCTGGATTCACTGCAGAATTCTACAAGAAATACAAAGAAGACCTGATGCTGACACTCCTCAAGCTATTCAATGAAATAGAAAGGGAAGCAACTCTTCCTAAGTCATTCCTGGAAGCAAATATTACTCTAGTACCAAAACCTGAGAAAGACCCAACTAAAAAAGAGAACTATAGAACAATCTCCCTAATGAACACAGATGCAAAAGTCCTCAATAAAATATTGGCAAATAGGATGCAGCAAATCATCAAGAAGACTATACACCATGACCAAGTGGGATTCATCCCAGGCATGCAGGGATGATTCAACATACATAAATCAATAAATGTAATCCACCATATCAATAAAGCCAAAAGTAAGAATCACATGATCATTTCTATAGATGCAGAAAAAGCATTCAAAAAGGTCCAACATTCATTCATGATAAGAACTTTACAGAAAATTGTAATAGATGGTCTTTACCTCAATATAATAAAGGCCATTTATGACAAACCAACAGCCAGCATCATATTAAATGGCCAAAAACTGAAAGCCTTTACTTTAAAATCAGGCACAAGACAAGGATGTCCTTTATCACCACTCCTATTTAATATAGTACTGGAAGTACTAGCCAGAGCAATTAGGCAAGAGAGAGAAATAAAAGGGGTAAAGATAGGAAAAGAAGAAGTTAAATTATCATTGTTTGCAGATGACATGATACTCTACGTGGAAGACCCCCTAAACTCCATTGAAAGACTCTTAGATACAATAAATAAATTCAGTAATGTAGCTGGATACAAAATCAATACTCAGAAATCAATAGCATTCCCATACACGAACAACAAAATCACAGAGAGGGAAATAAGAGAAACCACACTCTTCACACTAGCAAGCAAAAAAATGAAATATTTAGGAATTACTCTTATGAAAGAAATGAAAGACCTATACAGGGAAAATTATAATACACTGAAAAAAGAAATTGAAGATGATCTCAGAAAATGGAAAAACATTCCATGCTCATGGATAGGAAGAACAAACATTGTGAAAATGGCCATTGTCCTAAAACTGTTATACAGATTCAATGCAATCCCAATAAAAATACCATCAACTGTTTTGCTTATAAATCTAGAGAAATCACTCCTAAAATTCATCTGGAACCAGAAGAGACCTAGAATAGCAAAGGCAATTCTAAGCAGCAAAGGCAAGGCAGGAGGCATCACAATCCCTGACTTGAAGATATACTACAAAGCAACAGTAGTAAAATCAACATGGTACTGGAATCCAAACAGAGCCAAAGATCAATGGAATAGATTAGAAGATACAACCACAACTACAAACACACTCAACCACCTTATCTTTGATAAAGGAGCCAAGCAGGTTCACTGGAAGAACAACAGTCTCTTTAATAAATGGTGGTGGAAAAACTGGCTCTCCATTTGCTGAAAACTAAAGCTAGACCCATGACTATCACCATGTACTAAATTAAAATCTAAATGGATCAAAGATCTGAATATTAAAACAGAAACACTAAATCTATTGGAAGACAAATTGGGTAAAAACCTTGAAGACATAGGGGTAGGTAGAGAATTCATGAACAGGACTTAAACCGCATGGGAAATACTTCCCAGAATCAATAACTGGGACCACCTCTTATTAAAAAGTTTCTGCATGTCTAAAGAAATCTCTAGCATAGTGAAAAGAAAACCTACAAACTGGGAAAAGATCTTAGTGAACTCCTCCTCAGACAAGGGACTTTTGTCTAAAACATATAAAGAATTAAAAAAAACTCAGACCCCCAAAATTCAAAGATCCAATCCAAAAATGAATACGCACTTCTCAGATGAAGAAATACAAATGGCAAATAAATACATGAAAAAAAAATGTTCATCATCATTGGTCATTAGAGAAATGCAAATTAAAACCACACTGAGATTCCATCTCACTCCTGAAAGAATGGCCAGGATCAAGAAAACCAACAACAACAAGTGCTGGAGAGGCTGTGGGGGAAAAGGAACTCTTCTACACTGTTGGTGGGAGTGTAGACTGGTACAGCCTTTGTGGAGGTCAGTCTGGAGATTTCTCAAAAAGCTGGGATTGGAAGTCCCATTTGTTCCAGCTATTCCACTTCTAGGCATATTCCCAGAAGAACTGAAAGCATCATACCACAGTGATATATGTGCACCTATGTTTATAGCAGCACAAATTGTAATCACTCGATCTTGGAAACAATCCAAGTGCCCATCAATTGAGGAATGGATAAAAAATTTGTGGTATTTCTATACAATGGAGTATTACTCAGCTATAAAGAAGGATCACAGTGAGATATTTATCAATAAATGGGCGCAGCTTGAGACCATACTCATAAGTGAAATAAATCAATCTCGCATGTGTGAATACTGAATAATTTCCCTAATGTAAGTAATGATTCAAATATATAAAAGTATGTGGTAATCATGATTCCCCATTATGTGGCCTTGAAGCCTTATAAAGTTTTCACTTATTAATTGGAATGGTTTTATTCTGGGCTGCTTGATATTATTGCCTGTGATGAAATGAACAGGTATTTTGAAGAAAGTAAGTCACCATAATAGCTAATGCTGATTTACTATCATCTTGTTTTGAAGCCCCACAAAACTATGGCTCTTCTGTCTCCACTAGTTTTATCATGATGTATCTTGCTGGATTTTATTATGTGATAATATAAACAAAAATTGTTATAGGCAAAGAGATAATATAGAAACCATTGTTTGTTTTCTGTTAGCTGGTTCTAAATACACTACAATGCTTTCATCCACTTGAATGGTTTTACACTGACTTGATATGTTTGAAGCTATAGTATATGAAGTTATATTCAAATATTTCAAGGAAAAAGACGCTATGGTAACTACTATTAAGTCGGGTTATTTGGTGGTGAAGCACTAGGTTGCTGAAACTGTCATGCTTTGACCTGTATTGTTATGTTGTTATGTCCTCTTTTATCTCAATCTCTCCCTTATTCATTAAAAAAATTATTGTTATTTTTTATGATTTTTTTAATTAAGAGGAAAAATAAAAAAAAATAGCAGCATATATTATAGTAACTTTTTTGATTTCCTATTAACTTGATTTGAAGTCCTGTAATACTCCCACTATCTTATTTTGACTGATTAGACTCTGTTCCATTCTGTATGATAGTATCAAGTTTGAGGGTATAGACAACTACTTTGAAGGCAATAAGATTCACTATGATGCCCATTCTGGTTTGACTATTATCTTCTTTGGAAATCCTGTAATGTTTACAAGGTTTAGGTTTTATTGGTCTTGTTCTCTACTGTTTTGTTCAACTTTATAATATCTAATGAGATAGACAATATTTTTTTAAGGAAGCAAGAGACATTATGGTAACCATTGTTGATAACCTTGTACTCTGTTTTTACATCATGTGCTGTGTCTATCCTTGGTTTTGACTGACAGCTTTGTTTGGCCATATTTGACTTTATTGTCTTCCAAAAAAAAAAAAGTAATAAGAACTAAGGAGTAATAAAACCCAAAATGTGTAAATTTTGTTGTAAAAAAGTGCCCTAAAGGATACAACTGCAAGTATGTTTAGGGGTGTTAAATAGATGCCCATATTAATGTTTTTGGTTGGATCATTGAACACAACTGTTTGCAGTCTCACTATTTGAATGTTCACTTTGTGTGCTTTGATCCTGTGACCTGAATCACCATTTCAAAGATGATAATGTGTAATCTATTAACTGGTGATTTCTTACTGTTTTTTTTATGTAGTTCTGTATTACTTGTACCCTTACACTGCTTTGTTTTGTTTTGTTTTTTCTCTTTTTCCTTTTAAATAAAAAAAACGCAGCAATTGATGTGTGTGTGCATGTATGTGCATGTGTGTGAATCTGGAATCAAGTCTAGGGCTTTGGGCATGCTACACAAGCATTCTACCACTGAGCTACACTGGCAGCCCTGGCGCAACTGAATTTTGGACAAATATGTAAAAGCAAACCACTGAAGAAGAAAAAAAAAAAAGTCGTTCAACAAATAATGTTGAAATTGTTCTTCAAATCTACAGTTAGGAAATAAATTTCAACTTCAACCTTACAATTTAAACAACCACAATAGGATAATACTGCATGGTCTGCGAATGCTTAAAATAAAAAGCAAATTAAAAAAAAAAAGACAAGACCAAGTATTAGTGAGAATATAAAGAATCCCGAACTCACCTATACTGCTGCCAGAATCTTGACTAGTACCACCACTGTGAAAAGTAGTTTGGCAGTTTCTTACAAAGTCAGCGTACACTCATCCCAAGACCAAACAACTCTGCACCTAGATATTCAACCTGAAGAAATGAAAACTTATGTTCACTGGGAAGTCTGTAGACTGTGTACATAATTTCCAAGTGCTAGTAGCTATGCAAGGATCTCATAGTGGGTGGTTGAATAAACTGTGCATAGCCATACAATACAGTAGCACTCAGCAATAAGGGGATCTACTTTCTATACACATGATCGCATGGGTGAATCCACCTGACATATACTAAGAAAAAGAAGCCAGACCTTGTAATAGTTAGTTGTGTTGGAAACTTGTCCAGCAAATTGTGTTAGCACAGTTCTGGGTGTGTGTGGGTGGTGATACTGCTCCGTGTTTTGGAACTGCTCCAAGTCCTGGGCGTAGTGGTGGTTATACAACACCCAGAGCTGTATAGTTTTCCCACATTACTTTTATGCATGCCACTTTTGAAATGTTTAATAATTTCGAGTATCTATCTGGGTGTCTTACTGTACATATGTAGGAATATATGTGTGTTGGTCTTCAATATAATATTTACAAACAAACCCAAAGCAAATGACAACAAAAACAGCTCTAAGCAGACTCCTCCGATGATGATTTTCATCGGGCTAATACTGGGCCATGTAGAATCTTTGCCCCCAGCACACTGGCGATGTGCAGGCCAATCCTAGAGCAGCCACTTGCTCTTTGCCCATGCTTTTGGGAGGAGGTAGTGGCCTTCCTGGCAGCCTCTCTCCGGCCACCTGCTCCCTTTAGCTGTAGCCTATTCCACAATGAAGTCCCCATCCTTTGGGTGAGCGACGTCCAGGTTACCCCAGGAGTCCCACTGATGTCCCTGCACACTTCATGGGGCCAGAAGTTAGATGCTCTCTACTGCTGCATGGAGAAAGGTCTCAAGGCAGACACACAGCACACCAGGAGCACCATGCAATCCCACCTCCCATAATCCCCTCCCGTTCACTGACCTGTCCTTTTCATGTCCAGCCTTGCTCAGAGATTCCAGGTGCCAGTCCAAGTGTGACTAAGAAAACTTGGTATCTTCATCTGTGATTTGCTTCACCTGTAACCTGCTGGCTCTGGATTACCTGTGGATATGTGCTACCATCCTAGGGCACATTTAGCCACACTCAGCAATTCAACTTTAAGTAGTACTTCACAGTGAGGCCTAACTTCTAGTTAATTCCAAAGGCAGGAAGAAAAAAAGCAGATGGACATTCATCAGTGCTGTAGTATAGAAGCTGGTGTAAAGAACGGACCCTATACCACAGGGCAGGAGAAGTCCCCACGGGCCAGGATTTAGTTGTCAGAAATGTTAATGCCTAGACAGCAGAGAGATAGACAGCTCAGGGACACTCTCACATTAATCAAGCCGCCAGAGCCTGAGACAGAGAGAGATCAGATAAGAGGTGGATGAGATAAGACATTCGCATATTGTAGGAAAGTACATTAACCAAGCTCATGGAGATTGACACACAGCACAAGAGGTGCACAGCCTAGTGTCAATACACGAGTCAGGTGCTCAGTGCAAGCATCGCAGTATGTTCTCCATTTGCAACCAGTACAGATGGGAAACCTCACCCTCAGAATGCAAATAGGTGCCCACAGAAAAAGAATAAGAGGAAGTGAGGGATTTGAAAAAGTCCTTAAATTAGCTTTATAGCATTGTGCACCCAATAGGTAGATTCTGGCCAAAGCAAACTTTTTTTGTTTTTTGAGGCTTCTTTCCATCTCCTGTGTCATGAGACTGACACTTTTTGCTTTGGCAACTCTCTCCTGAGCTGAGTTCTAAAGACAAGCAGGAGTCATCACAATCCACATGGGAATAAAGCACTGCAGGTGACCAGAACAGCATGAGCAAAGGACCAGCGGCCTGAGAAAGTATAAGTTGCCATTTGTGCCCTTAGCACAAGTGACATCTATAGCAAAGCGAAGAGGGGCCAGCACTAGCAGAGAAACAATGTGGATTATGAGACAGGAGAACACAGAGGTAACAATAGAGTCATGGCTCTTGAGGAGCCAATGTACTAGAAGGGGACTCCAAGGAAGACACCCTGGGTACAGAAACCATGATAGGCACCAAGTGTCCACAGAGCACAGCTTCCAGGATACCCAGACTCCAAGGCCCTGGCTGCTTCTGGCTTAGGTAGTAACAGCAAGGACAATTGAGCCTCCTATTCATTAGCTACAGTTGGGCATGAGGAGTCCCCAGGATCTGTACATCAGGAACATTATGGAGAGAGTGCATTGCCTCCTTCTGATCTAGTTTTCACTCCAGGTTAGTTAACAGCACTTCCACATAACAAAGCATCTCTGTCTCAGCCAGAGCCATTGCCAAGTAAATGCAATGAGAATTTTAGGATTACTGAATCCACACCAAAAATCCATATTTATCTAAAAAGTGTGTAATTATAAAGAAAATACACACCTTGGGAATGAATAACTGGATCTTAAAATCCAGCAAATGTCATTTTACTGCTTGTGCTCAAGTGTCTGTGTGAAACAGTTCTAAGGGCTGTGGCATCACTGTCGAATGCCAGCGTTATGCGAGGACGCACGGATTAGCTTCCCAGAGATGGGGCACACAAATATATCTCTGCAAAATGTGCTTCAAATTTAGTTGTTCTACTTTCACATAATGCACAGGCTTTTAAAGGTTGCATTTTGGGCCAAGCCTTTTCTAAAACCACAAGATAGTTTTTCCTTCCTTAGAGATGGAGTGGAGCCCCTCGCTGAGGCCATCACACATGGATGATGATAGCTAGAAGCTCAGATTACCACGGCTACAACACCCAGACAGCAGACAAAGGGACCCCGCCCGCCCACGCTGCTAGGATGGAGAGGCCCCTCTGCATTCTCCCAGGGTCTCCTGGGCTGTGCTTTGAGGCTGCACTCTCTAGAGCTCTTTCTCTCCCTGTGGGTTGGCTTGTCTGGAGTTGATGAAGGCAGACTAGTTACGAGCCAGGATCTGCTCTTCCAAGCTTTCCTTGGACACCTGGGGGTCCACCACCATGTGGGTGGCTCTGTTCCTCACCCTGCAGAGGCCTGGCTCTCATTCTCTAAGCTAATCCTTGTCACCACATTGGACCCACTGTTCAGACTTTTCCATCTCTTGCTGAGGGGAAACATATTTTTCCACTTTTACTTGGCAAAGTAATAATCACCTTTTTTCAAAAAGAGGATTCTAAGAAGTTGGATTTTTTTTTTTAAGTTTTATATAACCGACTGTAGGGAGAAAGAAAGAAGGCTGTCCTACATAAAACACCTAAAGCAGAAATGAATGTCAGCAAGGAGTATATAAAGCTTTCTGTGGACCAGAAACTTTACCAGTACACTGGCTTGTGCTTGGGCACTCGGCTGCTCAAAAGTGACAACAAATGCAGTCCTTGCTTGGTGGCCCAAAGCCACTCTCTTCCTTCGGCCTCTGATCCTTCTCTCCCTCTCTATCCTTGACCCCGGCTTCTGTAAGGGAAAAGATGATTAATTTAGGTAGCTCTTGCTCCCCAAGAAAAACTTTAAAAAACCTATATAAATCACGTGAGTATATGGAGGCACTTTGGGGAGAAGCAATTAAACCATTACAACACAGGTGGATGCCACTCCACAGTCTCTACTTTACATGGCCCAGGAGAAGAGGGGCCCCCAAGCTCAGCTGCAGGTTCACAGCAGACATGTGAAGCAAAGGTGACCGAGTGGACTACTTGGGCAGATCTACACTACCATTGTTTCTTCTGCTTTGTTCAATATTTGCCCTGCCCTGCTTTGTAAGTGTTGGAGGGTGGGGATTCTCCCAGTCAGGAGGAACCTCCGAGAAAGAACAGATTATGTTTTGGGGAGCCCCTAACTTTGATGATCACCTTGCATTACAAGTCTCTGTGACCGATAATTTTGCCCATTGGGACCTCTGATAAAGTAAGGCAGCTTCTACTCAGAGATGCCCCTTGAGGATTTGGGATTATCACCTCCCTGACATGAGTAACAGGTATATCCCCTTGAGAAAACAGCTATGAGCTTGCTATGGGGGTTGTGTTGAAACTGGACACCTGACCATGGGACCTCATGGCACCTATATTCCATTCTTGGCATGGGCCAGCTAAAACTCAGTGACTAACAAGATAAGAGCCCAATGAGCGCTCCCCCCCATGTCAAAAAAGGCTGATTCCAGCCTGGCCCAAGCAAAATCTTGGCTTTATGTGAAAAAGTAATAGCCGTCCCATGAGGGGAAATATTAATCTCCATTCTGCTACTAGCTCGCTGGGCACTTATGTCCCAGAGTTTCCCTAAAATACCTGGGGCACTGTCACTGGTGGTTGGACTACACTGAAACCTAGCAGCATCTATCAGACTAGTGGCTCTTCAGCAGGCCTCCACTGGGAGGGCTGGGCTGTGGTGGCTCTGCCGGGTGGGCAGAGCTCAAAGCCATTCTCACAGCCCTGGCCAATGCTGTCTTTGATGAACCACATTATATGTTTCCTGACTCAGGCTATGGCCAATGGCTTAGCTATGTGGTCTGCCATTTGGAAAACTACAGACTGGCAGATTAAAGATGCCCTGCTTTGGGGCCATGAAATGTGAAAACACCATGACTGTTAATTACCATCTGTGTATCTGGGTCACTAACATAGATGTCCACAGTAGGAGCCTGTGCTCTGATGAGACCTGCTGGAATCCAGCTTGTGGTGAGACCTGCAATATCCAGATTGCCACCATCATTGCCCAGATCTGTCATCTTCCCAGACGCAACATCATGGCCCCTGTCGTGGCTCTGTTTCTGATGCAGAAGTTAACCAGGACATGTCAGACTTGTGATTCCCACCAAAAGTTGGTCACAATAAAGAAGTCCACACTGTAACCCAGGAAGCTGCTGTGTTGTGGTTTTGGCCTTCTGGTAAATTTGAAGTCTGACAATGGTAATCCTTTTATCATAAACACAGCCCAGTTATGGGAGAAAAGTCAAGGTATTCACCAGATCTTCCACACTACCTCTGCAGGCTATTGAGACTTTGAGAGGTCTCCATGGGTTCACCTCCAACCTCCCCTCCTCTCACATGTGCC